GACTCGATGGCACCTGACAACAACAACAACTCACCAGTAGACCAGTGTGGTTGCCAGCAAGCTTCCATGCCTGTTTATGTGTTCCCTTTGAGTTTCAGTGTTAGAGGGAGGTTTGTCCTGAAGGAACTAGATGACTTCCCGGAAAACAGCTTGCTAATTCTTCTAGAGCCAGTCATACAGACATCTTTCTTTTGTTTTTTTCCTGATGATCTTTCTTTGAAGATGTATGTTCTGTTGCTCTAGCTGTTCCAGGTTGGTCTGCTTGTCCTTTCTAGTGGGAATGTCCCACCTCAGAAGGTTCTGGATGGGACTCAGGTTTTCACCTAAGGACTTATACTCTGCAAAGGCTCTGCAAGAGGCCTATTTCACTGGGCAAGATCTAGGACCCCTTTTAGGTATTATGATCAGTTGCAGGTTGAAGACTGACTTACATGTTTTCTGTAATCATGTTTCCCAACATTCCTTTCTATCCCTCTCAGGTTTTTACTTTACAATAGTAGGCAAGGGAAACCAATATTCCTGTGACAATCAAGCATCTTAGTATTATTTCCCCTCTACATACTATGCCTAGATCCCTGTATCCCAGAGCCGTGTTGTTCCAAGGTTGAGCATGCATCACTATTTACCTCTGTTCCAGTTAGCCAAAGCAAATCTGTCTCAGTGTTCCCCTGTCTTCCTTGTTCTTCCACCTCTTCCCCCTTCTTGTATTGTCTTCCCCAACACCCAAACTATGATGTTTCTACCATTACCTGGGCTCTACAGTAGCCTCCTTCCACCTCCACCTAAACCCCTCACCCCAACCCCACCATTGTGGTTACCTTATATTTCATTATTTTTTCCCGCCATTTATGACAAGTCTATTTTATCCTGTAATCTACCTGACCTTCTAACCACCTGGATCTCTGTACCTCTGTGTTTACCATCTTTCACATTGTAACCGTCTTGATCGTAGACTGATTGCCCAGATCCTCTGAGTTCGTTCTTATAGTTTTATTCTGTTCTCGACTCTTTGATTTGTTGATTGAGTTCTGGGTGGTGCTGCCACGTTTGTCAACTCTGGTTGTTGTCTGTTCTTGTTGGTTCTCAGTGCACAGAACTCCCTTTAGGATGTTTTTCGTTGCAGAGTTGGCTTTGGGAAAATCCCTAACTTCTATTTACCCTGGAATGTTTTGATTACACCCTCATATTTGATTGACAGCTTTACTGGGTAGAGGATTCTTGGTTGGCAGTTTTTTTTTCTTTCAGGGTTTTATATTATGTCTCCCCATTGCCTTCTTGCCTGCATAGTTTTTGCTGAGAGATCTGAGCTTAAATCTGATTTGCTTGCTTTTGTATGTTACAGTTCTCTTTTCCCTAGCTGCTTTCTGGATGCTGTCCATATCTTTGATTTTGGAGAGCTTGATTACTATATGTCTTGGCGATTTTCTTTTAGGGTCTATCCTTCCTGGGGTTTGTTGAGCTTCTTGAATGCTTACCTCTTCGCTTTTCAGGATGTTAGGGAAATTTTCCTACAGCAGCTCTTCAACTATCTCCTCTGTGGACTTGTGTGATTCTTCCTGTTCCGGAATGTCAAAAATTCTTAAAAGTTATTACTCTTCATGTTGTCCAACATGAATCGTAGACCTTCTTCAGATTTTTTAAATCATTTTTTTCTGCTTGTTCTTCTATCTTAGTAGTATTGAGAGATTCATCTTCTAGCTCACTAGTTCTGGCTTCCATCTCTTCAGTTCTACTCCTTTGCCCTTTCAGTGTATTGTCCATTTCTGATATTCTATTATTAAT